TAGTCGCACAAACACGGGATCATGATTGTGTATTGCGAAATTCTGCACCATGGGAGTTCTGCTCTTGTTGGTTTGCTATCAGCTCTCGCATCAGTCTTCCCAACAAGGAGTCTTCCTTTTTTTGGAGCGGCCTGAATCTCATTATCAAATGTTTTTTCCGACAAATCACCTAAGGAGTTTTTGAAATCATCAGTTCACCACTCGTCCGGTCATCAGTTTGTGGATGGGAACGGCGGCGATGAAGGCCGCAGTGGGCATAGGTGGCTAACAATGGTGGTGGCCGCTGAAAAAGTCGGTTGAAGGCGACGTGCTTTGTTGGCGGGCTGAGGTGCCAGCTCGCAACAGTTTACATGGGATTGTGTATTTGAGATTTAATCAATTCCATCGAATTCCAACTAGAGAGAAAATGAATTTAGAAATGAATTCTACATTGATTTATATTTTATATTGTATTTATAAATTCATTCGACCAAAACACTTGAAATCTTAGAAGTCTTGGAAAAGTAATGCTACCGACCAAATAGCCCTTTAATGTAGATGAATTGAAAGGTCGTGATGCCAATTAAGACAAACACCGAGTAGAGAGAATAATACATATTCGAGATTGCAGATCATGAGGAAAATGACAGAGGTAAATTATGAACAAACAACAAATGAAGCCAATGTGCTAAACATCGTGAGAGTAGGTGAAGATAGAATTGTCGTCAAAAGTAGGTCGCTATGAGAATTTAGTCTTACAAGGGTTGAGAGGGAGTTAGCATACTATATGAGCATTCATTGGCAGTTGAATAAGCGACTAAATCGAGAGTGATGCATTAACGCACGATGTGAGGTATGGTTGTAACAAGATGTGACGTGTGATAGTTGGGTGGAAGCAATTTCTTGTGTTTAGTGGGATGTTGAAAAGCAAATGGGTGTGATAATGAGTGGACAAGGCGAGCTTGTAGGTACACATGGGTTTAGTCTGGAATGCAAGCACTCATATTGGCTTGATAACAAGGTGTGAAAGAGTGATTACATATAGAAGGTATGGGAGGTGGGCTAGGGCATGCATACTTCATGATAGCAAGAGCTTCCAAGGGATAGGGGGACCAATCAAGTGGGTAGCTGACTTTTTCCTTCTCTGATATGTTGTTGAGAGGTCTTTTTTTTTTGGTGGGCGTGGTGTTTTGTCAACTTATAAAGATGCTCTAGAAATAGGCGGATAATTATACACTAAATATATCTTCCTAATATAGTCTTTTTCCATTTTAAGAAAACCTACATAATATTTTATATATTAATAATTATTAAATATGTCAAAACCGATAAACAGATTGAACTTCCGGTTTCTACCCCTTCTGCAATCTTTATTTTTGGTTAATTTAATGATCTTAAATGCTCAAACAAAACCAGCAGAAATGGTGTTCCTTGACCAAAGTTCTTCAATGTTAAAACCTCATTGGTGATGCATATGTATTGCTTATAAGGATTATATCAATCAAGAATAATTGAAATCAGACAGAATTAAGAGTTTTCATCTTTAAATGACTGCATTAAATTTCTTATTTTACTTGTACATATTCTTTCTTTATAGCTAAATATTTAGTTTACGAATATGTATTAATAAGTTACCTAAAATAGATTGTACATATTATTATATATTGTTAGGCTGCTTAAAATAGATTGTACAGACTATAATTTATTGGAATGAAAGCAAAGGAAAAAGGCATGGAGCCAATTTACTCAAAAGATTGATATGGTATCGAAGCCAGGGAGCAAACCTTAGATCTTATTTTAGCGTTGAAATCCTCCACTTCGGCTTAGTCTTCGGATTTAGCACTCCTTTCTAGATCGTCAGTTTTGGCTTCGACAAACCTTATATCATTGGCTTCGGATTCGACACGGCTTGAAAATCGTTGGCTTAGTCTTCGGCTTCCCCTCACTAATCTCGTCTCTAGGCGGGAATTCTTTTGTCTACTTCTGCTGGTTCTTGCTTCTACCTGGTCCCGTCTCCCGCATCTGGTTCCAGCTTCCGCTTGCATCCTGTTTATTGCATCTGCGGGGTTTTCGCTTCAACAGATCTCTTGTGCAGCATCAGCTTGAGTTTTCAAATTTCATCGGAAGCATTAAAGGAGATTTCTTCCAACATATATAATCTGATCGCTGGAACCTTTGTCCAGCCGACTAGAAGATCTCTTCCTACAGTTGTGTTTCCTCTCCTTCAGTTTCAAATCAAATTCAAGGCAGTGCACGCTCTTCTTTTCCTTACTCAAGGATTGACAAATCTCTTGCTTTTGAATCTATAGTTTTCCTTTTATCATTGAAATTGTTGGTTCTTGGTTTTCTTTAGTTTTCGGTTGATTATTTTCGATTAACCACTTTTTTGGTAATCAACTTGTGAGTGACAATTCTGTTAGGATATCTGAGAAAACATGTGAAATCTTAGTACCAAATTTACGGAAAAGAATTATGCAGCATGAGAATTTGAATTTAAGAAGTTTTTGAAAAGAAACTCTTAATTCTAGCCGATTTCAATTTGAATCTCCCTACTATCAAATTTTTGGTAAACGTCCTAATTATCATATGCTACATACTTTCGGGTGTGTTTGTTTTATTCATTTACGTGCCCATGAATGTCATAAGTTGGCAGCCCAGTCTGTTCGATGTACCTTCATGGGTTACAGTCCCAATCATAAAGCTTTTGTGTTATCATTCAATTAATAATCGACGGCGTATCCTCGCGAGGTGATTTTCTTTGAACATGAATTCTATTTTCAGCATCATCTTTCGACATCTGACCCTGTTATACTTCCTCACTTTAATAATTCTTCTTTTAATAATGATTCAAGTCTAACCTTATCTACACGCGACGCCTGATCCCTTCATCTCCAGTCCTTTTCGACCTTGCTTCTGAACATGCTCTAATGATTCTTTGACGATCGACTCGGCACATTTGTCCTCCGAATAAATATGGTTATTTTGTAATTTTAATTAATACTACATCTCCTACATCTTATTCTTAGGCTGTTAAACAAACTTGTTGGATAAAAGCCATGCGAGAGGAACTTAAGGCACTTCAAGAAAATCACATATGGGATATTGTTTCATATCATGCAGGTGTTAAACCCATTGGTTGTAAATGAGTTTATTCTCTTAGGCTCCGATTTGATGGCTCCCTTGACAGATATAAGACAAGATTGGAATCTCTTGGCAAACGACAGGAATATGAGATTTATTATGAAGAGACCTTTGCACATGTGGTAACTTATTCTATTTATTTTTGCATCTAAAAGCTAGTCCTTACAACAGATGGATGTTAAGAATGCATTTTTGCATGGGGACTTTAAGGAAGATATCTACATGACTCCAGACTTGTTTTCTACACCCTCAAATGATGTTTGTAAGCTTAAACGATCTCTATACGGTTTGAAACAGGCTCCATGGGTCTGATTGAAAAGTTTCGCAATACTTTTCTTAGCTTCTCTTTTATTCAAAGTTAGTATGATTCTTTATTATTTATTTACAAGAATGACAAGGGAATTGTATTGTTATTTGTCTATGTTGATGATATTGTTATCACAGAATCTAATACTCAATTGATGTCACGGTTACAGAAGTGTCTTCAGGGTTCTTTTCATATGAAAGATTTAGGGTATTTAATTTATTTTTTAGATCTTGAGGTTCACTCTTCTCTCACTGATAATTTTCTTTACCAGCATAACTATAATAAGGAACTCATTGCTTTGGCTGGGCTCCAAGAAGGTCGTCATGTTGATACTCCTTTGGAAGTGAACGTTAAATGTGAATCAAATGATTGTGGCTTTCTATTTAATTTATCTCTATATCGACAACTTGTTGGTAGTCTCAATTATCTAGCACACGTCTTGATATTTTATTTGTTGTACAACAAGTTAGTCAATTTATGCAGACATCTGCGACATCTGCACATCTTCACATCTTCATTTAGCTGAGTCTAAATATCGAGTTATATTCTCTGCTTGTTATGAGATTATTTGGCTTCGGGGTTTGTTGGCTGAGCTTGGTTTGCCTCAACTTGAGTCTGCTCCTATTTATGCAGATAATACTAGTGTTATCCATATTACTGCTAATCCTGTCTTTCATGAGCTCACGAAACACATTGAAGTGGACTGTCATTCTATTCGAGAAGCCTATGATAATCGTGTTATCTCTCTTCTTCATATCTCTTCAGATCTTCAAACGACTGATATATTTACTAAGACTCTTTCTTAGCATTGTCATCAGTTGTTGATAAATTGATGTTTCTTGATCAGTCAACATCAATTTGAAAGGGGATATTAATAAAAAATAATTGAAATCGAGTATAATTAAGAGTTCCCGGTCAACATCAATTTGAAGGGGGATATTAATCAAAAATAATTGAAATCGAGTATAATTAAGAGTTCCCTTCTTTAAACGACTGCATTAATTTCCTTATTTTAATTGTACATATTCTTTCCTTATAGTTGAATATTTAGATTATGGATATGGATTATTAAGTAACCTAAAATAGATTTACACATTCTTATGTATTATTAGGCTACCTAAAATAGATTGTAAGACTTATTTATTAGAATGAAAGCAAAGGAAAAAGACATTGAGCCAATTTACTCAAATGATTGACAAATTATATGGAGTGTACGTGCTCGCGTGTTTTTGGGATTCTACCCAAGATCAAAATTGTGTGTTATGTTATTTAAATGATGCATCATTCGCTTGTATCCCAATTGATGATTGGTGGATCTATTAAACATCATATATGTTCGTTTTACAATTTTCTTAGGCTAAGATAGGCTGCATGATATGCCACATGCTAAATTTTGAGTAAATTTGTAGAAAAGTAAAATTTTGACAATCTTGCATTTCATAGAAATTCAAACACAGGTCTGTTGATTTGTAAATGGAGAGAGTAAATTTTACTGATAAAATATTAGATGTATACTCTCATTTATCCTAGAATCTGTCATTGCAATTTTAATCACGTAGCACTCCTGTTTCAGCGACCCAGTGGCTTCACAGTAGGGTTGAAGTTGGTGGATACGAGGAGTATAGTGGTGTTGAATACCGATGTGCTGGATGCTCTGAGGAATACAAAGTAACTGGGTAAGGTTGCATACTCATCAACTCTCATTAGGTATGCCATTGATGTAGTTTTTTGAGTAAAAGGATATAATATGGTGAAGTATACGATCAATATTTCCACAACTATGCAAATCCGCATTTTCTATTTTTTTATTTTTTATTGTCCTTTCTGAAGTCTGAACATAGTAAACTGAACAGGAGGAATCTTGAGCAATCTGGTGAAGAGGAAGCTCTTTCTCTAGAAGGAGATATTGGTGGTGGATTAGTGCTTGAACGCCATATATTCATTCCCAAAGATAATCCGCAGGTTCTTTGCATTTATAGTGGCATTATAGCACACACTGTGGGAGCTGGTTCGGGTGGATTCTCAAGGTTTGTTATAGATTAAACATGGCATTCTTTTAATCCAATGATTGTTCAGAATTTAGGACCATCAACTCAACGTCCAACCACCCATTCCCAGATGCTAACTTGTGGTTGTCTCTGATTAGAGACTTCCAATGAGGCTTCTTGCCGCTCGCTCTATCAGTCTTCTACGCATAATTAGTCAAAGATAAAGGCAGGTATTACCCTCGGGTAAACTTGGGAGGCCCCTCATTTGTATGAGTTAGAATGGGGTCTTCTAACGAATGCATCTATAGGACCTCAAGAAGAGATAATCCTGAATCGTTAAAGTATGATCCCCAACCTCTGTTTTTTAGTGAGTTTGGGTCAGTATAGGATTACCTGAATATATTCTGATGCCCACAATTTTGACAATTTTCCTTGATAAGCAAGTCGGCAAGGTATTTGTTGATGTAGTTAATTAACATTCTTTGGGTTATTCATCATTCGAATGATGATCTAATGGTCATTGGGGTACTCATAATCGCTTTAGAATGCAATTGAGGATGGTAAATGACTTATTTATCTCTACATCAATGAAGGTCAGCATGTCATCATGCAATCTTTAAGATTCATGCCTAATGAATGAGATGATGGATGTACATCATTAGCTGTTGACTAGACATTCTAAGAAAGCTATATCCAAAATATAGAATATACCAAGTTGAGTTGAAGTGAACTAGATTAGCACATTTTATGTCAGTCACATTAGCCTTTACTAAATTTAATTCTATCAGAGAGCTTGTGAGCTCTAAAATTTCATTCCTTGACATCTCCAAATCAAATTCAGAAGGCATTTTAGATGAGACATTATCCAGATATTATTCCTTCATTTTCCAAAAAAATTAAAGTAGTGTGTAATCCACCAGTTTGGATGTATCAGTTCACAAATTGGTTAAGCCTAATTAAATCGAAATCTGAAATTCATATAACGAAACCAACCAAATGAAGTGGACATCCTCGTACCGATCCCGCTTTAAATTCCAATTTCGCTCACGCCTCTAACCTGTTCCTGCTTCCACACCCGTTGCTGCTCTTGCTCATGATCCCACTCTGATGCTCACTTTCAAGCAAATTAAGATGTGGTTCAGAAGAGATGTTTATGCTATCCCACTCTCATGGGCTGGCCTGACTCCCCTAGGAGATCACATTTACCTTTTTTAGATTATTATTAGGGTTAATTTTGCTTTTGTGCATATGAATATGTTGTTAATTCTTGGTATTAGGACTTTTGCTTCTATTTTTGGTATTTTGATATTGCATTATCTGATTTTCTGTCCTATGGAGTGTAGTCTCATCAACTTTTTACATGTGGTGTATTTGTAGCCTGTTTAGGAATAAGTGGTGGATTCTCCTCGACAATCGTACCTCACCAATATTGTTTTCATGCTGTTTTCCCTGCTGATTTCGGCTTGGACAGCGCAGGAATGATGTTTTCGCTCTCCAACTCCCCTTTTTTCTTTAATCCTTAATTATTGACTATTTGCCACTTTCCCAAAAATCACCTTGATGCTTAAAACACATTATTGTTTTCATGCTGTTTTCCCTGCTGATTTCGGCTTGGACAGCGCAGGAAAGATGTTTTCGCTCTCCCACTCCCCTTTTTTCTTTAATCCTTAATTATTGACTATTTGCCACTTTCCCAAAAATCACCTTGATGCTTAAAACACATTATTGTTTTCATGCTGTTTTCCCTGCTGATTTCGGCTTGGACAGCAGCAGGAAAGATGTTTTCCCTCTCCAACTCCCCTTTTTTCTTTAATCCTTGATTATTGACTATTTGCCACTTTCCCAAAAAACACCTTGATGCTTAAAACACATTATAGGTACTTTAGAACGGCATTATTTGGTATTAAAACCCAACAAATCTTAGATCTCTAGGGATTTTTTTCTCTCTTAACTTAAAATCCACATAACATAATCTAAAACCTCCACCAAAAATCATCCATACACCCTCCACCCCTAATGCTAAACTTAAATTATCTACTCTTTGTTAGCTGAAACCCTAATTGGGAAAAAGTGACACATCATGCCGAAGATCTTACAATGGGAGATATGCACATGAAGACGATCTAACTGTAACAAAAGTTTGCCCATTTGAGAGGAGACAAACCAGAAATATCACCCAAAATTTTAATAATGGTGACTCGTCGAATCAAGAGGAGGCAGTCAAACCTTCCACCAAAAAGTTTCTAGCAATGAAGAACAAATGCCTTGACAATTTGGCATTGAATACCAAAGGAGGATAAATGATTTTGGCGTGAAGTTTGACTTACTGAATTTTGGGCTTCTAGGTCCAGATGAATTCATTGAGAGGGCAACAGTGGAATAAACTTGTAAGTACGAGGAGATTCCTTTGGAGAAGGAAGTCAAATTGGCAACCATCAAACTTGAGAGGAGCACACTATTGTGGTGGGAGAATCTAAAGAAACTTTGACAGCAAGACAGGATGAGTAAAATCACCAAATGGTAGAGGTGTGCATTATTTAGTTATAACCGAAAAATCAAACCGAACAATATTTTTTTTGGGATGATTTGTTTAGGTTTTAAATTACCATCCGAATATCAAATTTGATTTGTGAAATTTTTGGTTTTTCGGTTTTTGGATCATCTTCACAATAAGTGCTTGTGTTTCAATTATGATCCCATTGTTAGGATCACAATAAACTCTGAATTCAAGTTCTCCACCAACTGTTGAATTTGGGTGGTGGAGATAAAGAGACGGGAATAAGAAATTGATCAGACATTTTCTTTCATTTATTCGTAAGTTTCTAAGTAGAAGTTATTTGGAAAAAAAGAAAAAAATTAAAAAGCCGCCAAATACTCCATAACAACCTATTAAATACTTAATAACCGTAACGTGGTATTATATTTATTTTATTTTTAACACAGAAAACCAATGTAAAAGAAAAACAATTTATTTTAAATTGTAGGTTAAGCAGGTGAGAAGATTTAGATTACGATCGGCGTGAAAGTCAGGCAAATTGAAGATGCATGGGAGCCAAAGGATAAGAGATAAGACATAGCATCAACAGACATGGTCAAACAACTTGTGTATGGTGTTGCATAAGCTTGATCTTACATAAAAGGAGACAGAATCTGGCTCTTGAGCCCACAGAGTGGAGTGCAAGAAGGAATATTGGAGGTCTTACGTGATCTTATGCAATCTTGATTATAGGATGGGAATGACTAGTAGAAAATTGTGTTTGCTTTAAGATATGTCTGTACTGACGTTGCCAACCACACTGAATAGTGATGTTATCCACAGGAAGGTTGGCAATAATGAAATCAACAAAAAGTGAACTGGAAGGGCCGCCAACGGATTGAAATTGGAGATGAACATATCAACTAGATAAGATCTTGACAGTATTTTCTTAATTTAATAGATAGCGGTACCGGTTTGCTGGAGTTGGTGGAGATGAAGTTTGAGGATCTACGAACAAGAATGGGGCGAGGCTTTAAAGAGGGATTTGCACGAGCTTGGGAAAATTCTTGTGGATTACAACAGGGACGTAGCACTAGTGGAACTGGGCAGAGTATTGATAGGACACACTTTTAGGATCTATGAAGAATGTGCTAATGGGTTTTGGGCATTGTTTATTGGACCTTGCAGATAAAAGATGATGGTTGTGGGAAGGTTAAACACTAGCAACATTGTTTTGATGTCATCACTGGAATCACTATAAATGGAGGCTTGTAGTTCACTGGCAACTACAGAAATTTTTGGGGGATATCACTAACTGACATTGTTTTGATGTCATCGCTGAAATTATATATTCTGGAAGACTTGCCTGTTTTTTTTTTTCTATTCATTCCTAATGTATTCAAACAGAGATTATTTATGAAAAAACAAGACTATAAAAGTCTCCATAACAATCTACCAAGCCTAGGCCACTAACTCAATATCACATTTATTTAGCTGCTAACATGCACAACTTATTTCGAATCTCTAGCATGCTCCCTCTCAATTGTTAATACACAAAGTGCTGTTTTTATCTCTAGTCATGTGAAATGTAATCTCTCTTCATATATATATATATATATTTTAAATCTTAGTGTAATATTTGATTTTTGTGTTGGCCATAGACATAAGTGAATCTCACAAAATCATGTAAATTTTCTTCTTAGGTTTGAGATCATCTTCATTTAGTTTGTGTGTCTTGTTCTGTAGTGATATCACTAACTGACGTTATATTTACTTGGATTTGAAGGCTGGTTTGCTTGCGAGTGCACCCAACTTTTACCCTTCTACACCCAACGGAAGTGTTTGTCATGTTCAAATCAATTGACGGTTCGAAGCATGTAATTGAACCTGAAGCAGGAGAAACAATGTTGGAGGGAGATATCCGCCCTAATGGTGATGCCCTTGCACTCTCTAACCTTCAGACCCTAATTCTCTCTCTCTTTGCTCTTTGTTCACTGGAGTTGCGGCTTTAATATACTTTTATTCGTTGAGCTAATTTTTTTTTTCTTTTAACTACAGGTGAATGGATGCTGGTTGACAAATGCGCTGGTCTGGGGCTGATTAACAGATTTGACGTAAGGCAGGTAAGTAAATGCCTGATTTATTGGGGGGCTGGAACAGTTAATTTAGAGCTGTGGTCTGAAGAAAGGCCTGTTTCAAAGGAGACTCCTTTGGCAATTTCTCACCAATATGAGGTGAAAGGGATCCCTGAACTCTGAGAAGTGTTTCTTTCTGGAATTAAGAATGGCCATGTCATTTGAAAGGGGCTTTATCCTCAGCTTTAGTAATTTTTACTCTCCTCTTTTATGACGATTAAGCAAAGGAATTGCTTTCGTGTACCGTTAAAGTTTTCTCTTTGATTATTAAATGGAAGAGGGGGATTTATACCTACCACTCAAATCTATGTATTTACATACCCAACACCTAAACTTTACTTTTTATATTTTTTATTTTTACCACCCAAATATTTCATTTATATTTTTACCACCCAAATATTTCACATCACATCAAAAATACCACCAATTAAAATTTTAAAATTGAAATGCATAGTTAAGGTGGCATGCTTGTAAAAATTGACGTTTAGTTAGATATGTAAGTACATAGGAATCGAGTGTATGTATGTGAATTTTCTAATGAAATTTGAGGGCATTATTGGGAAAAAAAATATCACATCCGGAGTCCGGATGCAAAGCTATGTACGGATAACGGACGCAATACATCGGATGGAGAGAACGGACGCAATACACCAGACGGAGTGGAGCCTTTGTCCTGACGTAGATTGAGTCCAAACTTCGAATGCAATATTTTTTTCCATTAGCGGGCCCTGGCTTGCTTTTTTACCTATACGTGATATATACATGTATCTGTACGCGAATATACTAGATAGAATACATTTAATTTGTGTGGTGATTTGGATATGCTGGTATTTTGTTTTACGTTGTCTGGTGTCTGTCAAACACGCGCTTTATTTTGTGTCATGTATTGTATATTTTAATATTATAAGCTTTTGGTATATCTTAGATATATGGTTGCATCCATAGCTTCTGATATATTCTATCATTATCATCATCTTTAATTTTATCCCAACTTTTGGTTTTGATGTCCATTCGTAAGTCTCATTAAACCATTATTTTTTGTTAAACTGCCACATTGCAGTTGAGTACAGGAAAAAGATTCTGAAGTCGTTGGATAATTTTTTGGGTATATGATAGCTTACTGTATTCATTTTGAAAATCGATTGGGAATTAGGGCTGTCAAAAGGCTTTTTGATTTGATTGTTATTTTGTGAATTAGGGCAAAGAGCCTTTGAATCACGTTGTTCCAATATTGTCAAATATGTAGAATATGTCCAATTGTGAAAGTTATGAAGAAATAGCATGTCAAGTTATTTAACTTCCGTTATGATGGTGCAAAGTTGATTTATTAGGTGTTTTTGCATCCTGTCAAAATTGATGTGACGAAATGTGACCGCAAAATGAACTTTTGCATGTGGTGATGTGATGTAATGAATGTGCCGTGCTCTTTGAATCTGAAGGAAGTCATAGATAACGAGAAATGTCCTTAAGAGATGTCAGAGAGAGAGTGATTGAAGATTAACAAGAGTGCTTGTGGCTTGATCTGAAATTACTTGACCCAAGAGAAGAAATATGGGGTGATGATGGAGAATGCTGCAAGAAAATTGTAGAGGATGTTGAACAACAAATATCTCACGAAGAGCGTGGAGAACCATCCCCATATGAGGCATTGATTATATAAATTTTAGATGAGACGGATTAAAATTGATGAGCACTTGAATGATTTCATAAAGTTGTTGACAAATCGTTAAATTTGGATGAGGAGGTTGGAGAAAAAGATAAGACACTTCTTTTATTGAATTTGTTCTCGGATGAGTTTGAAAACTTCACTAGACATTCATTCATGGGAAGAAGATCTTGAATTATGGTGAAGTGAGTACGACGCTATTTAATCATGAGTTTCGTCAATGGGACAAAGAGTTCACAAAGATGGAATCGGTTGGGACACTTAGACCCCAATGTGGAAGATTTGAGAAGAAGAAGAATTTGACAAAGAAAGGTGGCAACGACGACACTTCTCAAAAGTGGGGTACGTGTCGTGAGTGCAATCTTGGGAAAAAATAGTGTGCTTACTGTTTAGAGACTGATCATTGGAAGAAGGATTGTTCGAAGATAAATGAGAAGAGAAAGGAAGTTGCATCTTGGGTGATAGCCAATATTAGTGTGGAAAAATGTGAAGACATAAGTTAAGTTGTATCGTTATTTGCAGTTTCTCACAATTTGTTTATAGATAATTCATTTTAGATTTTGGACTTAGAAGATATCTATTACATTTGTCCTCATCGAGGATGCTATTGTACGTCGTAACATGAACTGGATGGTGTTGTAGTGATTATGGGAAATGATAAAATTTGTCGTACTATTGGTGTAGGGAGTATATTTATCAGGATGTATAATGGTACTGTGAAGTTGTTGACTGATGTTAAACATATTCCATATATCATGAATAATTTGTTGTCTTTTGGGGCTTTATAGTCGAAGGCTACAAGATAGTTATTGAGGCAGGAGTTCTAATGATATATCGTGGAGCAATATTTTTTATGAAGGGAGTTTGTCATCACAATCTTTACAATCTTCAAAATAATACAGTTATTTGAACGACTATTGTTGCTGATATATTTTAATGTCACTATGTTATGGTATATGTGGCTAGTTCATTTTAGAGATGCTTCACTTTGGGCTATGGTGAATAAAGGATTGATTAAAAGAGTGAGTACTTGCAGTATCTTTTGGGACTATCATTCACAATACAAAAAGTATTTTAGAGTATGTTCACACAAATGCTTGGGGCCCGACGAAGAAAATATCATTCAGCAGGCGAATATACTTTGTCTCTTTATTGATGATTACTCCAGGTATGTTTGAGTGTACACCATGAAATATAAAAGCAAAGTATTAGAGATTTTCCTAATTTGGAAGAGGTGGATTGATACTTAAACTGATAAAAAGATTTGATGTATCAGATTAGACAATGGGAGCGAATACACTTTGGATGTGTTCTTGCAAGAGTGTCGGAGAACAGGGATAGAACAACACTTTATTGTTCTTGGGTACCACAGCAGAACGGGGTGACAGAGATGATGAATTGGACTTTGGTGGAGAAATTTTGGTATATGCTATCCAATGCTGGGTTGGATAGAATCTATTGGCTCGAGACCATAGAATATGTCTATCACTTAGTGAACCGTCTGTCTTTCGTAGCTATTAGGAAGAAGACCCCAAAAGAGATGTAGTCAAGGTATCCTTCTATATATTATGAGCATATGAGAGTGTTTGAATGATAGTCTTACTATCACATGCAGATTGATAAACTGGAATCACAAGCAAAGAAGGCGTATTGGCCTTAGACATGAAATCAAGGGCTTCAAGCTATATTATTAGTCAAAAAGAAAGGTCATCATTAGTAGGGATGTTACATTCGAAGAGGTAAACTTGTTGAAAAATCAGAACTCAAGGTGGGTGGAGAGCTCTACTGGGACCATAGATATGTAACAAAAGTTAAAGTCTGATGCGACTCCATTTGTTCTACAGAGTTCGTCCACTTTAACTCATATATCTAATTTTGTTGCAACTCAGGAGATATATGTTGATATTTCTCAGGAGGAGGTGGAAGAAAATGCTAAGGATGAGGTTTCTACTCAAGAATCTATTATAAGGAGCAGAACCAGGCGCCACAATGTCCCAAAACCAGCTTGGTTGAGGGATCACATTGCATTTGCACTTTCAACCATTAAAGCAGAACTTCCTTGTCACTACAAATAAGCAGCGAAGAGCCCATACTATGATCTTTATAGAGCGGAAATGGATGAAGAGAAGGAATCTCTTCGAAACAATGATACTTGGAGGTACGTGAAGCTTTCTCCGGGAAGAAAAGCCATGAGGTACTAATGGGTGTATGCAAAGAAGGAAAGATCTCATGGAGCTGATGTGTGGTACAAGGTAAAGTTATTGGCAAAAGGCTTTGTGCAATGAGAAGCGATTGATTATGATGAGGCGTTCTCTTTAGTGGTTAAGCATTCTTCAATCTGTGTTCTCTTAGCACTTTTAGCACAATACGAACTGATCTTAGAACAACTCGATGTGAAGACTGCATTTCTACATAGGAAATCAAAAGAAGAGATCTATATGTTGCAGCCACCTAGAAGGTCCTGAAGATCTATATGTTGCAACCACCTAAATAATGAATTCATATGAATGAGAAAGTCGTTCTCGTCCTATGTAGCAAGCGATTAAAGAGATTTTCTTTCGCACCGAGGAGATCAAGAAAGTTATCCTCGTCCCTACTCCGCAGTTAACTTGGGATCTTCTTGCTTATTGTTGTCGCGCATTCCTAAGAGATGAAGAAATGCTAGTTTTCCTGTCACACTTTTTGGGGGGAGATTTTCATGCTTTTGTGGTTGATATTTGGGACCCCTGAAGATCAGCAGAAGTATTGAAATTTCAAGGAAGCGATGCCGACTCTACTTGAAGTTGATTGTTTGTATCCATTGTATAAGTATATGTTGGTCTTTGTAGTCTTTCAATTGTCGCATGTGGCGTTTGTACATAACAATGATATGTCTATTAATATGTTTTTCTCTAGCTCGATGCAATAAAAATTTGGACATTGCTTCTGAGGTTTCTTTTAAATGGTAATTTACCCTCTTTTGGGATGTTGTGGCTTCTCAATCATACAAAATGTTTTGTAATTAAAGTTAGAACATGCATTTTATATAAAAAAAATTACATACATTTTGAGGTTTGTAGCCTTCTAAGGTTTTTGATGTATCTGTGTCTTCTGAGACTTGTAATCTTCGAAGATCTTTGATGTACTTGTGTCTTTTGAGGCTTATAGTCATCTGAGGTCTTTAAGTGGAGACCCTGTTAACCACTTGTTTTTTTGAAGTTTTCTTAGTGAGGACCTTGTCCACTACTAGCATCTCATCGAGACTTGCCTCTTGGGTTCATCTTCTAAGGGCGTAGTAGCTTCTCATTGAGTCTTTTTTTTTTGGGCTCAACTTTCAGGGATACCAATGAAGATCTTGTCTGCCACTACGATTTTTCAATTTTTCCCAAACTGTTAGTCAAAGCATGTATGTCTGGTGACTGTAGCATGTGTTCGAGCAGAGTCAAAAAGAGATTTTATTAAGTATGTAAGACCCATCCTAGCCAGTTGTATAACTGGGGATGCTCAACAGTGTTAACTCGCAACAGATAAGTCTTATGAAATCCCCTGATGATGTTTGAACTATCTCAGGTTTTTAGTCAAAGCTTCTGCTTGACGGCTATAAACTTGTTATAGAAGAGGTCGAAGAAAATTAGCCAAGGTTATTTGACTTATTCGAGGTTGTTAATAAAAACATTTACTTGATGACCGTAACCTATGATGGAACCGATTGAATCAAGTCTCATGGGATTAATTAAACCTAGAATGTGGTGTCAGAGTTGCTCGACATTTCTTTAGACTGGGGCACATGCCACAATAGACCATATTTTCTTGAAAATATGATTGCAACTATACTCAAGAATAATGTTTGAGAACACGTCAATTGCTGCTTTTGAATCTTTTGTCCCCCAACGGAGGCATTTTCCACACGAGCTTGTAAATCAACTCATGTAATAGGCCATAAAAGAGATATGCTTCTTGATCTGGTTGAAGAGAAAAACTAAGATGGTGGGGGGAGTACTGAGAAAGTATTATTTGTGAAGTTAAGCCTCAATTTAGAAGCAGTTCCCGAAGACTTGATGTCCGAACGACCATTTGAAACTGTTGTAAAGTTTGCCCTTAGCCTAAAAGAATTTATGAAAGACTTTGTGTCTGAATAGGATGCAAGAAGGCAACCCCACTACATTTTGTGCCCGAGATGTTTACGTTAACGACCTTTAGAGATTGCAGTGAAAGTTGGTCCTCACAGTGAAAAATGTTTCAAAGATGATTTTTAAGATGCAAAGGGGGTTCCATCACACGCTCAGATGAAAGAAAAACAAGTAGTAGTGACATAAGAAGTTCATACGTAAAAAATCCGTAAAGAGAAAAAACCACCTTCCAAATATGTCCTAGAAGCTTCCAAAAAATGGTTTAATGACTTCATATGAGCTTGATTTACCTCGGATTAAATTAATTTTGATATCTCTGGGGCTGCCTCATTGAGTCAGTCACTGTAATTTTATGGAAATCAGACTTTTAGATGAATTTTTATCATGGCTTGAATGGTTCTTGCTCAAAATATTGTCTCGAGATTCATATCATACCTCGAGATTCATGTTTGATGAGGAATTTATTGATGACGTATCAATCCTCTAGCAAACATTAAGATAGTGATAAACAGACAAATAACCCTAATGACATTCCCTTTACTTTCTTTTGTACTCCCCACATGTTCTTCCTCACAGAGAAAATAAAATCAAGATTTTTACGCAAACCAAAAGACTGAGAGCAAAGGTTCCAACCCCTGCAACTATCTCTAATCAAATTCAACGCTCAACACGAAAAACAAGAAGCTATATCTGGTTGTCTCACTCAATCCCTTATGCCATTATACATGCATGAAATCCCAATCAAGAAAAGTAATTCAACTGTCGTATTCGTTCCCCTATTAAAAGACTATAAAAAAAAATAAAACCTACTACAGAGAAAGGCCAGAAGGCAAAAGAAGCTGAAAAGTAATATAGATCGACCTCTTAATCTTCCTCCCATCCCACCGAGAGTCAGGGAGAGCAGTTCAGTTCTACTTGATCGCAATACCCTCTCTCTCTCTCTCTCTCTCACACACACACACACACACAAACACACAGAGTTGCAGGTTTGCAGCACTAGAGAAATTAGAGTTGCACACAGGAAAAGGAAAATAAGCAGGTTCAAGCATGAGACAGATTACCTGCACATTTTGAAACGGAATGGTGAGCGAAGGTTTATAGAGGCGTCTTTTGTATTATATGAATGTTTCGTGTGTGGAACTGCTTATATTAAATTCTGGGGTGTGAAATTTGTAAATATTAAAGTTTGATGTGCTCGGTATGTGATGTAACCTAAGAAGACCTAATTTAAACCTAAGGATAAACTTAAATTAAGATAAAACCTAGACCAAAAACTAAGTCTACGATAAAGCCTAATCTACTCTTAAGTTCAAAAACCAAACTAGTGTTTGGCTGCAAGGAGGATTTAAGTTAAATATGATTTAGTAAATCCAATAAATCTGGATCCATTAAATCTAAATATCATTAATTCTGAAATAATGTTAGGTTCAATTTAAATCCAGTTAAATCCATTTGAGGTGCTTGACATAAATGTATTTGAAATATTTTTTTTTTCCTTTGCTAAATCCGTTAAATCCAACTAATAAGTGTATAGAGTATATTTGGATAATAAACAGAACAAGAAAAAATTGAATTGAACTTAAAGGTAGAATTATCAAACCTATTTATGGTGTTTGGTTGGATTTAAGTTAAATCAATCTTAAATTCTATTAAAAGTATCGTACGAAACACCCCCTCATTACACTTAAATTAACCTCAAGTCCCTAAACAATCCTGAACTATGTTTTACTCAAATTCTACTTATATGTGGGTGCATAAATACATACATTTTACATATGAGAGATGCCACACCTTAAACATTTCCAACAAAAAATTCGTTTGAAATTTCTTATATAAGCCATGGAAATATAAATGAAGCACAAAAATCAAATAAAATAAAGTAAAATAAAATAAATCTTATATGTGTTTGCTTAAATACACACATTAAGCCATTTAAAAATTGAGCAATGATGCACGTAAAACATTTCTAGAAAAAAAAAATAAATGGGGCCTCTCAAAAAATACTCGTTGTTCGCAAACATTGTGTTCAACACGTTAAGTAGCTCATGTTCGGCATTCGTTAAGTAAACGAGTCAAACAAGAATAATTTGCATGTTAAGTAGCTCATGTTCGGCTCATTCGTTAAGTACACGAGTCAAACAAGAATAATTTTTTAAGTTCGAATTATAAACGAGCCGAACCCAAATAACTCTTTGTCGCTCGTGTTCTGCTTGTTTTAGCTCGAATATATAATAATAATGAGTTTACACAGTTTAAGAGGTGAATTCTCCTCTCTCAGGTTCCACCACTACTACATGTATTCATTTCAAATTTCTTATTTTAGATAGAAATACTTAGTTATGTAATTATGAAAAAAATATGTATTAATTAATTTTATTTTTTCCTTTAAAAATTTTAAGCAATAATTAAATAAAGAACAATAAATGGATAGAACAATATAAAAATAAAACCAAAAAGCAATATTTAAATATTTGTTTATTTGTCGCCCGCACATACTCCTATTAGAAGACGCTGGCAAAGCCTCTTGCTGTGTTTTGCCTTTGACAAAATTAACCACAATTCGAATCTCGCCCCCAACAACAAAATATTACAGCTAAAACACCCGCCCTAATCAAATCCAACTACTCTTCTTCTTTTCGTCACTTCTAGTCCCACTTCTCTCCCAACAAACCCTAACCTAAACCTAACTCTTTCC